AAGACCGCATGGCACTATGATAAACACGATATAGAAATGAAAGAAAGTTATTGTGCTTAGAAGGAGGCAATTCCGGGAGAAGTCCCTTAGGAATAAATTCCTAAGGGACTTCTCCCGGAATTGCCTCCTTCTAAGCACAATAACTTTCTTTCATTTCTATAACGTTAGCATTATCATATTATCCTCCATACTATAATAATCATGGTCAATATTGTTCTCAGAGCGTGCCTTAGTGTTTCCTCGAAAGTCCACTGAAGACAAAGTGTTCTGGTTGAATCCATTTAGTCCTYTTCAAGTGTTCTCCCTGTCTTTGTGGGTCTTAGCTGATCGGTCTACAAGTTATCATGGCGTCTTTCACTATAACAGCAGCGAGCAAGCCGAAGAGATAGCAATACATTTGTTGTCACGTAACAACAACTACTTCTACATTCGACAGAATTCATTGTATGTTGAGAAATGATTGTGAATTGGAAAGTTAAACAATTTATTTAAAGGCAAAAGATATTACAAAAATTGACTGAGTTGTATCCGTGGCATTAAAAAGCCTAGCTGTCGCGCGGCTGTCGCGTTTTCGTCGAGTTGCTTGCCGAAAGACAGATTTTTGCAAACTTTAGGGAACTGCATAAACCATAAGTCACGAACCGCGGAGTAGGGGGGTGGGGGGACTGGGGGGCTACAGCCCCCCCTCCCCCAATAATTTTTCCGACATTTTAAATTTTCTTAAAAGAACCGAAGAGCCTCCTTCACCATATATATTCTTTAAAAATTGCGTAAAAGATTTTTTGCGAAGTCTTTGGGATTTATTGATGATATCGCTGACCGTGTGAGCGGTAAAAATGTCTCAAAACGCTGGAAATGACATTTCCGWGAGTTAAGATTTCAAACTCCCCTAGTACCTCCTTGCCGCTAACAGGAACCCCCCCAAAAAAATTCACGCTCCGCGGTCCCTGGAAGTGAATAGTTGTTTGATGGTTCAGCAATCTCGGATATCACACAACAGTCAGTAATCTAATATTTGATTCAATAGTAGATGGCAGTAGTAGTGAATATGTATATCTTTCTTCATGCTTGTTACGCGAACAAAAATTCTATTTTGTCCACTTAGATTTTAACGATCAATTTTAATTCATATTTTAGTAAATATAGAGGGACTCTAATTGATAATAAATGGCATCATATTGCTATGACATGGGACAGCAGTAACAGTGGTCAGTTGTTTATCTATGTTGATGGCGTGCAGCGTGTTTCTAAGAACGTTGCTGCTGGTCAAACGATTCCAAGCGGTGTTCTTTACCTGGGTCAGAAAAGGGATGCATACAATGGAGCCTTTTCTGATGGAGATGCTCTTCAAGGACAACTCACCAAGGTAAATTATCARAAATACGTTTTCCCTTGCGCCCGTGTAATTYTCGGTCAGCTCCRCGTTTTTCGMCKCAGRCYCTTAATYTAATTAACGCTAATGAATACTTCCCACAAATCTGCGCTCCGCGCCCATCRAAGCACGTTTGGGGACATAAAGGGCATAGGTTTTYATTGATGTACTGYATGGGACACGGATTTTTGTGAAGTATCCAGGTAGATCCACTGTAATCCAAATGGTCAAAGTTACGATCGGATCGTGGACATAGTACTCTTTCATTTCAAACTGTGCCAGCCACTTTATGGTCATTTTAGTGTGTGATTCTCTCCTGGGTTACCTGTACTTTTCACTTAAAAAAATCCCGAGAGCCGTCACTGGCCGGTCTGGGTGTTACTTTTACAGTAGCGCGGTATGGACTCATATATGGACTTCTTTGTCATTTATGCAGCTGAAGAACATGTTTTAAGTTGTTGTTAAAACACTTTTGTGCCGAATTATTCTTACAGGTTCAGATGTGGAGTCGAGTCTTATCAGAAGCCGAAGTCAGTTCTCTGGCTTCTAATAGATGTGCTGATCCTTTGGTTGGGRACCTAATCCAATGGTCAAAACTCCTGGACAAGCGATCTGGACAGGTTACCATCAACAATGAACCATGCCAACCTTGATGTAACTAGAGAGTGAATGGCCAGACGTCCTGGTTAATCTGACAGACTGTGTAAGCCATCATTCAATCACATATTTATGGCCAGACCTAAAAATTTGGTCAAGCGATCTGTTCACCAATAATAGCGAAATGTGATAGATTAACACCCGAAACTGATAGATTCACAATAATGCATGCTTGTTTAATGCAATGTCATCCATCACCAAGGGAAAGACCCCCCTCATAAAAAAACTACAAGATTCATAGTCGCCTTTTGGATGCAGGAACGTCGTATACACCCAGAGAAAAAGTAAACGTGACGATCATCATCCAAATAATTGAACACAACAAAATAGTGACCATAAAAAAATATTCGTAGTTTCTGAGTTGCATTGCAGAATTTATGAATGTTAATTATCAAGAGGAGCCAACGGGGTCTGTTCTTCTAAGTAACTGTTCTTGTACAAATGTTTTCCCGGGAAAGGGATTTTGAGCTATGTTGTTGACAAAGCAAGTGTGGCGCCCTTCCTTTATTAAAATAATTTTGTCCCTGGATAACGTTTCTAAGGTCAAAAAGGCTTATATTTTTTTTTAGTTAGGAATATTTATTTTCCTGGCAAAAACTCTTAGAAAGTATTCCTTGCCTGGAGAGTTCTTTTTTTCTGAATTTCTCGCTGGAAACCAGTAGTGACTTATAGCTGGCTGGGACGTAAGAACAGTTATTTCATACTTGATTCMGTTTTCTTTGTTATTCATAGTGTTGTATCTCGCTTATTCCAGAGCTCATTGTGTATTCAAGTGCTTTATATCGAAGTTTCAGGGATATATCTAGATATTGCCCCCATTTGAGGGCAATATCTATATATTGCCCTTGAATACCTATTTAACTACTACGTTCAACTTAGAAATTTTCCGTCTGAAACTTTAAACTTGAAAGAAAGAAAAATTCAAATGACACCAAGTAGATTCGAACCCACAACCTTAGCTTTGAAAATCCTATACTTAAAACGTTATGCTAACTGACTAATCGATGTCAGTTATGGAATAAAACAGTTATTTAACATTGTCCAGTTACTTGGTCTCGTGGGACTAACGAGGAAAATGGTTATGCAAATTATTCCCGTTGGGAATTATCAATACTGTAAATTTCGTAACCTTTCTAATCGAGGTTTTGAATTTAATTCATATGAAAACGGCTTCTTTGCCTATTTAAAAATGAAAATATTAATACAGTGCTTGGAAACTTCTTCAAGTATGAAATAAGCCAGATACATACCGAGAACGGAGGCAATCAGCCTATACATCCCTCGGGCCGTAACTCTTACATATATTTCTCCCAGAAAAAATAACCATCGGCTCCTCCTGAATTATTGAGCATGCTTCTCTTTGATTTTGTCTGTGACTCAGAGGATATCGAATGACTTCGGCACACTGTAGCAGTCAAGTAAATTTGCTTTAGGAAAGTAAATTAGCGATAGCGAGTTATAAAGTCTCGTGATGTCAACACTGCACATTATAATCAGGAAATATCTAAATTAAACGAATTAACAAAAACTTTGAAGAATGTTTGAATTAATGTATGAATTTTGAAATATGAAATATGAAAGACTTATATTCACACAGAAATTATGGGTAATTTTGGTTGACACGTTACATCTTAGGTGAGCACATAATAGGCTGATTATTATGGTATATTTGACTCTGGGCTACCTGTGCCCTGAAACTGCAAGAATATGTGATTAGATGGGACATTTACTATTCTGAGCATGCGCTTATCTTTTATTCAGTTACATCAAGCACACGTCCTCCCACATGGTTCTTTTAAGCAAATATACTAGTATATAACACAATCGAAATGTTATTGAGACGATGATGTGCCGCAGACTCGGAGGTAGACTTATATGACGTATATATCATATGATGTATATCATTACGTCATGTAAAAATTTCCCACAAAAGAATTAAAAGGGGGAGGACACCGGCCCCCTAAACCCCTCCCCTAAATCCACCACTGACATGCACAAAACCTTACTCAGTTGTATCTTGTTTCCAAGAGAACATGTCTTGTTACCAAGAAGATATTTTTGTGGTTGCTCCCGTCCTTTAATTAACCCTATTCAGACTAAGCTTCTTTTTTTCAATCTGTGACTGGGTGAGTGTGGGGGGGGGGTTATTCGGCCCCCCCTCAATATCTTCGGAACTAATACATCTATGAGCATGAAATTTTCACACAATGGTCGCCCACGTAAAACGAACCACCACACCCAGTCTTGACCCGTGGGAACCAAATGTGGCGTCATAATGACGTCATTTTCACCATTTTAACGATTTATAATTCAAAATATCTTAAATACTTCTCAAACTAACATTTAATGAATAAAAAAGTGAGTTTCGAAGTGTTACTGATGATTTTAACGAAATTTTGTTCCATGTGAAAAAAATGACAGAAAACTACCCACCCCTCCCCCCAAAGTTTTTGTTGTCGAAAAAGTATTATGGTATTGTAGAGTCAGCAATGGGAGCAAGCYCAAATAGGTAAAAGATGCATAATAAAACAAGAAATAAGCTTTAAAAATGAAAAATTAAGCATATTTCATATTTTTGAAAACCTATATGTCAAAAACTGGTTGCCATGGCAACATGGATGACGTTATCAACAAAAAAAATACATCAAAATCTGCCGAGATAAATTTTAGGAAAAGTCCGAAAGTTTCAGAGCTCTAGCTGTCTTGGTTCGAAAGTTATTGGCTTTTTACGCGAGGGGGGGCTCAAAAGGCCCCCCCAGTCTGAATAGGGTTAAGGGCGGAGTATCCACATGTTATCGCCCGATGTAAGGAAGAGTGGAAACAAGGAAACAAGTCTGTAACACCCGAGAACGCTCGAGCACCAGAGCACTCGAACAATCGACTCTTTCACAGACATGTTCCGACTTTCTGATCTCTTTCACGATCACACAGCGAAAATGCCTCGTGGTAGATACGCACTTTGAACGGCGAAATGGAGAGTTTGTACAATAGGTGAGTGTAATTATCTCATTGTTTTTATCTCGTTTATTGCTCTTTATCAGCTATTACAGCTTTGAGCTTTTCAGGAAGGGCATTTTCTTAAGTGTTTTTCAGATCTCAAATCGCTCTTGTCACGGTTTCAAAGCTAAAAATGAACGCTTGATGGTCAACAATGCTCAACACAACACATTATGCGAAACAACAGTGTTTACGAAACAAAAATGAATAACCAGTCCCTTCGGGGAATTATTGGGCCACGTAAAAGGATAAGTGAGCACTTTTGAGGGAATAAGAAACCAGTACCCCATAAACAAGGGGCCATTTTGCATGACCATGCGCGAGCAGCTATATTGTCGCTTTGTTACTTGCAGGCTCACCACTGATTGACTGACGTTTAGTCCCAGGACTAAACGTCAGGCAGTCTAATTTTTTTCTTATAAAATCGTCGGATCAACCGTAATTTCAATTAATACAACAAGGGAAATGCAATTAAGACCGAAATAATACTGTTCGACAAGTTTCAAACACAAGCACGGCATTTTGAGATTTTCGACTGCCTGATGTTTAGTCCCAAAACTAAACGTCAGGCAGTCGATTTTTGTTGTGAAAAAGTCGTTGGAACAACCGTAATTTCAATTAATACAACAAGGGAATGCACTAAAGACCGAAATAATACTATTGGACAAGTTTGTATAGTCACAAGCCCCGGTCACAAGCACGGCACTTTGAGATTTTTCGACTGCCTGACGTTTAGTCCCAGAACTAAACGTCAGGCAKTCGATCTTTTATGAAAAGTCGTCGGAATAACTGTAATTTCAATTAACAGCACAAGAGAAATGGAATAAAGACCGAAATCAGCAAGGGTCTTGTCAAAAGTTAGCAGGGGGAGGGGAGGTGGAAATTGAAAAGTTGGTACTGGGAATAGGGGGTGACCAATCATAGTGGGGAAGTGAAATTTCAGACGAATTTTCTGGCGATGTTAACTACTGATAATTACTAATTATAGTGTTATACTTAGTACAGCGGAATTGAGACAAAATTAAAACCTGAATAAAAGAAACATGGGAAATGATGAGTGTTTCGCGTTTCACCATCAAAAATTTGAAATATAGATCAGTTCGTGAWAATCGGAGAAAATAGAGTACTCAAATAAGTTAACATACCAAGGTYTACCATAGGCAATGTCAAGAAAGTCATTCCCTGTAAACTTGAGCATTTGCTCTAGTTAGCGTCCAGACTGCCAATGTTTCTTCTRATTTTCTCTTTTACCTCGTTTAATTCTTTWTTTTTATTCTCAATAAGAAMGTTATCTAGCTCATGATAAAATATTTGAGCACATGCAGAATCACTGATCAGTGCATTTCTTTTTTATTGCGATTGTGTAGAGAAGTAAACGTATTTTGAGTAAAAAAAAACTGTTTATATACTCACTTGTTTATATACTTACTTTGTTGGCATTGCAATGGAACGAATGAGAATCATTTCAAATATATACCAAAATCTAGCAAATTTACCAAATGTTACAGTATGGGTATCATAAAGGAGTACGGACACGTTTTATTACCCAAGGTGGTGACAAGATCTCAAAATGTCTTGTGTAGGTGCGCGACTTGATTCAGAAAATCGAATTTTGACTCCCTTATTTTTTATACTATTTTGATAACGTTTGGTTATTAATTCATGCATTTGCCTGTAGACGTCAAAACAAAAAATAAAAAAACGCNATTGTTCTCAGAGGGTGTCTTAGTGTTTCCTCGAAAGTCCACTGAAGACAAAGTGTTCTGGTTGAATCCATTTAGTCCTCTTCAAGTGTTCTCCCTGTCTTTGTGGGTCTTAGCCGATCCATCTACAAATCTTCATGGGGTATTTCACTATAACAGCCAGGAAAAACAAGAAGAGATAGCAGTACATTTGTGGTCAAGTAACAACAACTACTTCTACATTCGACAGAATTCATTGTATGTTGAAAAATGATTATGAAATAGAAAGTTAAACAATTTTTTTTTATTTAACAAAAATTCTGGCTGAGTTTTATCCTCCGCAATACCAAGCCGTAACTGTCGCCTAGTGAAATCGAGATATATTGATCGAGTTGCTTGCCAAAAAATTAGATTTTTGCTAACTTTAGGGAACTACATGGACGTAAATCTCAATACAATAAACCATAAGTGAATAGTTGTTTGATATCACACAACAGTAATCTAATATTTGATTCAGTAGTAGCAGTGAATATGTATCTTTCTTTATGCRTGTTACACGAACAAAAATTCTATTTGTCCGCTTAGGTTTTAACGATAAATTTTAATTCATATTTTAGGAATTATAGAGGGACTCTAATTGATAATAAATGGCATCACATTGCTATGACATGGGACAGCAGTAACAATGGTCAGTTGTTTGTCTATGTTGATGGTGTGCAGCGTGGTGCTAAAAACGTCGCTGCTGGTCAAACGATYCCAAGCGGTGTTCTTTACCTGGGTCAGGAAATGGATGCATACAATGGAGCCTTTTCTGATRGAGATGCTCTTCAAGGACAACTCACCAAGGTAAATTATCAGAAATACGTTTTCCCTTGCGCCCGTGTAATTTTCGGTCAGCTCCGMCTGCGTTTTTCGCCGCAGACTCTTAATCTAATTAACCTTAATGAATACTTCCCACAAATCTGCCCTCCGCGCCCATCAAAGCAAGTTTGGGGACATAAAGGGMATAGGTTTGCATTGATGTACTGCATGGCAAAAGGATTTTTGTGAAGTATCCAGATAGATCCACTGTAATTCCAATGGTCAAAGTAACGATCGGATCATGGCCGATCGGATCGGATCATGGCCTTGCACTTAACTCGAAGAGCATTCGAAAACTTAGTMAAAAATTTAAAGGTACAATGACAGCAACTAACTACGCTAATCATATTGAAAAAGGACTGRGTAAAATACGCGCCCATGCACTGCTAAGTATCAGAAATAATGTATTCCAAGCTTTGTTCGGGGTACTACCGCAAAATCACTACCGCTTCAGAAGCCATTAGTGAGAATATGCATTAACAGGTATAAAGCTAGTACGTACGGAAGAAAAGATTAAATACAAACTCTTCTAGCATTGTCATTGTCCGAAGAAAGATTGCAATGGCGAATCCAATTGGWAGGTGGAGGGGTGCGATCTTGTACTCTTTCATTTCAAAGTGTACCAGCCACTTTATGATCATTTTAGTGTGTGATTCTCTCCTGGGTTATACCTGTACCTTTTACTTAAAAAAATCCCGGGGAGCCGTCGCTGGTCTGGGTGTTACTTTTACAGTAGCGCGGTATGGACTCATATATGGACTTCTTTGTCATTCATGCAGCTGAAGAACAAGTTTTAAGATGTTTTTGTTAAAACACTTTTGTGCCGAATTGTTCTACAGGTTCAGATGTGGAGTCGAGTCTTATCAGAAGCCGAAGTCAGTTCTCTGGCTTCTAATAGATGTGATGATCCTTTGGTTGGGAACCTAATCCAATGGTCAGAACTCCTGGACAAGCGATCTGGACAGGTGACCATCAACAATGAACCATGCCAACCTTGATGTAACTTCAGAGTGAATGGCCAGACCTCCTGGTTAATCTATCATGGCAGATGCAATTTTATACGGACCGTGTAAGCCATCATTGAATACACATACCGTATTTACTCGAATAGACGCCTCCCCCGAATAGACGCCGCCCTCAAATAGACGCCGCACTTAAAGCTCAAAATATTAATAGACGCCGCCCCCGAATAGACGCCGCATCTGGGTGCGAAAATAATGATACCAGCAATTTTTTATTTCGAAGTGACTACTTTTTTTGCTCTCAGCAGCTGTTAGATTCCGACCACGAGGAGGACATTATCACAAATTGAATCGACAAAATGAGCACGACATTTATATATTGAGAATCGTTACTGTTTGTTAGTAAAAAGATGCAATGTAAAGTACGGTATTTAGTACTGAATAAAGTGTTTTTCAATAAACGCCGCCCCCGAA